TAAGATTTAGTTTTGAATTATTTTAAATTTTTATGTTAATATTCATTGAAATAAACTATCGACTATAAAACTACTAAAACATTTAAATACGAAAATTAAATTCATCCACAAAATTTCTTTCATTTCATCAAAATAAATATCTACACTATAGTACATGTATACATGTAATAACTACATAATAAAAAATTTAACTAGTCATGACTGTACAAAAAAACTGTAAAAAAAAAAAAAAAAATACCTATGACCTTATATTTGATCTTGAATTTCTAGTCTATAACCTTTTTCCCCTTCCTAGATCTTGAAAATTAGAAGAAAAATCATAGTGAGCTACAACAGCTCAGTAAGCCACACAAACCAATTTAAATTTTTAAATATTCTTTTATCTAGTATTTTACTATATATATAAAAATAGTTAAATGAAAATTAAATAAATCACTAAATTAAGAAATATAATAAATGCATAATAGTTATTCTCTAAGTTAAATAATAATATAAAATAAATAAATAAATTAAAAATTAATATCACAGAGTAGTTCAGATCATATTTCCTAGATTTAGACAGAACCTCAAAGGATTCTGATCCCTTATGACTTTCTTTTTGTTTGTGGTTATCGCATAAGAACATATTACATATATCTATTTCAGATAGAATTTCAAAGAATTCTGACCCCTTATAACTCTCAATAATTCCTTGACCTAGATAAAATTTTAAAGGATTCTGATCCCTTATGGCTCTCAACAGATATAACTTAATCACATATGTATATATATCATCACATTATAATAATTAAAGAGTAATTGAGCATGTATAAAAATTTCAGTATTGTGTAACGGTACACAACAGAAAATCTAACTAGAAAAAATACACATTTTCAAAAAAACTATCAAATTATCATGGATTGTATAAAATGATATTTTAAGGCTTTTATTGTACTACAACACTATTTTTTAACATCCAGATAATTTTTTATTTCAATAAAAATATCATAAATTTAAAAATCATTGATGTAAAATTTCTAGAAAATATTCAAAATATGCATAATCATAATTTCTATAATATATAAAAATTTACGTAGTGAAAGTTTTACCGGTGCAAAGTTATTCCCATTTTTTGTTAATAAATACAAAGTTTTGATCAAAATATTCACTAAAACTTGTACATTTTTTAAAATTGAAATGCACATAATATGCCTAACCTCATGACAGACAAGTTTCCTAACTGATCCGATTGACGAAAATGGTTCTAAGACCTCCAAAATTAGAATTTTTCCTCTCTCTCTCTTTTCATTTTTCCTTAATTCTTGTCTTATCCGTTTCTATTCTCTTTTAACATTGGCAAAAGAATTAAATGGGAATTTTAGTAAAGTAAGATTAGATATTTTCTTTTTTAAATATTATTTAATATATAATATTATTATTATAATTAATTTTTAATTGAAAATTCATAGAAATATTTTTAGAGATTTCAAAAATTACCAAAATATATTTATAAATTAGCAATTTTTTTTTTGTGAAATTGGTTTGCAAAACGGGCACCTAACGGTCCCAAAAACCCAACTTGTATCGATAGGTGACAATTTTTTAAGAAATTTTAACAGTGCCAAAAAATTATGAAAAAATTAGATTAGCTAAAATATAACATTATAAATGTTCTAGTGAATACAATTTGTGATTTGGATTTATTATGACTCCAAAAATAAATATTGATTGTTCTAAGTCAAAATTTCTTATAAGAAAATTTAGGGGTTTCACAATATCCAGTGAAGTTTTTTAAATTATCAATTAAGCTCATTCACAAACATATATAACGAGTATTCTTGAGCTACCAAATGAGTTCGTTCATGAACATATCTAATTAGTTTTTTTTTCGAGTTACCAAATGAGCTTGTTCATGTACAAACAAGCTATGATTCATCTTATATTTGTTCATGAACATTGTAAACAAATAATCTAGCAAATATTAACGAATGTCACTTGTCCATAAATAAATTCATTCTATTGAATATATAAAATAAATTGAAAACTTCTTATCGAGCTTCTTATTAAGCTTAATGTTGAGCTTGTTCACGAGTTTTAAATGATGTTATTTGAAAAACATAAATGAGCAAACCATTTTATTAGTCAAGCTTATTTATTTAATGATCAAAAATATAAAAAAATATTCAAGTATATTTGTTTAATTAATTAAATGAATATGAATGTGCTTTAATCAAATCGAGCATCGAGTAGCTTGTCGAAAGATTGGTTCATTTGTACCCCTACTTATAACATCAAAATATGCTCGTAGGCTGAACATAACTTTAACCGCCATAACATATTCGTAGGCTATAAAACATGACTTTAGCCACCAGAATATACACTATAGGTACCATAACACGACTTTCGCCATTAGACATGCCTTATAAGCACCAAAACAAACTTCGTCCTTTTCCACAACATCTCAGAATTTCTCATTTTTAAATAATAGAACATATAATTTATTTCATTAAACATATTCCAAAACTTCACAAAATTTTATAATGGTGCACACAAGAAACCTTACTGAAAAGAAATGTGTTATTTCAGAATTTAGCCAAATTACTAAATATTGTGTAAAAGTCTATTTTGAAACTTTAATTATACTACAACACTATTTTTTAAGTTTAGGATTATTTTTAAATCAGTTAAATTAATGCTCATTTCAAAATACCCGTTATACAATTTCCAAAAAAAATATCTAAATGTTCAAAACAGATGTCTCTATAATATGCATAAAGTTACACGGCAAAAGTTTATGAGTATAAAGTTATCCCCATTTTTTCCCCATTTTTTGTTACAAAAATACAAAATTAATAAAAATATTTGAGAAGGCTTTGTATTTTTTAAAACTAAACTAGGTAAAATGTCACATGCTTACCTTCTCAACTAAATCGTCAGTTGAAAATGGATCGAAATGGCTCAAAATACACTTTCTCTCTCTAGAAATTTCTTTTATTCTCTCTAACACGGGTGTACTCAAATCTAGTTATTTTTTAAAAATATGCATTTTTGCCTAATAGGATTTCCTACTATTTACCATTATAGAAATATGACAATTCTGACACATACTCAATTATATTTTTACTATTATAATATAATGAAAAATATGCATGTGATTAAATAATATATGCTGCGAGGTCAGAATCTTTTGAGATTTTATTTGTCAGGGAATACTCTGGTGCCTATAAGGCATGTTTTGTTAGCTGTAAGTCATATTCTGATACATAAGGGCATGTTTTAGTGCTATAAGCATAAAAGATAGTCATAAGGGACCAAAATCCTTTAAGATTATATCTTGGTTCAAGAAATATGATATAAACTTCTCTATGATATGAATTGCAATTTATTTGTCTGTTTAGCAATATTATTTAAATAATTGAATAGCTATTATGCTCTTATTATATTTCTCAGTATCGTGATTGATTCGATTACATTTATTTACTTTTAAATATTCAATAAATATTTAATAAAAGAATTTAAAATTTTAGAGCAGCTTGTGTGGTATGCTGAGCTATTATAGCTCACTGTTGTTTTACTTCTGATTTTTATGATCTAGAAAAGGAAGAATACTATTGATTAGCAGTTCGGGATCATATTTGAGTTTAAAGGTATTTTTTTTGTTTTAATTTTTATACAATTATGGTTAGTTTATTATTTAGTTTTATAGCTTTACATACTATAGTATAGATATATTTTAATGAAATAAAAGAAATCTTGTGGATAAGTTTAATTTTAGTATTTGGATATTTTAGTAGCTCTATAGTATGTAGTTTATTTAAAATGAATATGGGGAGGGAATCTGAAATATTTCAAAACTAGATCTTGGGATTAGTATGCCACAGCTCAACACGACAGAACCTGTCATGATCGAATTGGGTTGTGACGCCTGGGACCCCCTTCAAAGCATATGCAGACTCTCACATCAAAACAATCTCAGATACATGCAAAAGGGTTCAAATGTAGAAATTTAACAACTTATCTTATTCAGATAAGGTCAGAATAGGTTGAATTGAATACTGAATCAAGAGGTGTTACACATAAATTAATGAGATTGTGCTATAACTGCTAAATTTCACCACTTGAAGTAGAAAAATTAGCACGTATTGGGCTTGTACAAGAAGGCTTCTTGCTTTGAGTAGAAACATTGGGTGGCCCTATCACCCTATTAAAGAGCATTTATTTGAGGCCTCTCCACTTGCAAAAGCAAAAGATAGTTATTGAAAAATCTAAGAGGAGGATGTGAGGAGTGTCATAGGTCTTGAGATGATTGAACCATTATATACTAGTTTTTCATCATTGTTCATATTGTTTAATACTTTATTTATTATTAATTTCATTATTGCTATCACTTCTAGATTATTATAAGAGAATAACATGAGATTCTAAAACATTTTAAAGAAAATTTGATTTATTTCCTCTTGAATGTTATCATTACTTTTATTATATACTTTGTCACTTTTCATGCTCAATAATTCCCTAATATGACCCTTGGGTGATTGTATTATTTTCATCGTGTACTAGTTATTTTGCAAGCTTACTCAATCTAGCTTTATACTCATTGATAAAAAACTAATCATAATTCTATTGTGGATAGTTTATAATACTTAACTCTTTCAAGTATATAAAAATTATTTGTGATTAATTTTAGCATTAATGTATAATGTATTGATATCCATAATTAAACGATATACCTTTCGATCATTATTGTTTATTCGTGCTCGAATGCATTAGACTACTAATTGCTAAAAAATTCATGATGCTTCAATTGGGTGTTTAACTAGTTATGCTTATTATTTTGTTGAAATGTTGAATGCAAAGGCATAGATTTAATGTAAATGATATCCAAATATATGGCATTGACAACACGGAACAAGCTAGCTCATGTCCGGTTCCAAGGCAGGGTCCCTTTTCCGGTCCTTTTAAGACCGCAAAAACCCTTAACCCATCCATCCAGAGCCATCCCTCGGAAGCTCCCGATTCGGTCCACGCCACACATATAAGCTACAGATGGGAAGAAGGGAGAAAAAATCAAAATCCGAATAGACCCGCCAGCCTTCCGCTGTCGATCGAACTTCTTTACGATCTACTTTGGAATCAACTCAGATACTGGATCTTACTTCTCCGAGTCGATTAGCCAGTCCGCCTCTTGCAGGAGTTGTTCAATCATATTTTCTTGCTCCGAGATGGGGAAGAATCAGGCTTACAAAGCTATGCAGAGGTCGAGGCTATCGGATGCGGCTGGGCCGGAGGAGTTCGAGGACGGAAGGGTTCGTACCTTTTCATACCGTTAACCTTGTGTTCTTGACCTATCACTTGTTTTTTCAATTCTATTTAGCTAGTTTGGCTTGTTTTCTTTTGAACGACTGTTGCAATTGAGGATGGAATTGGTTTCTCGTTGGAATTTGAGAGCTCAAAATGAGTAGTTGATTTGGGTCAAGTGTCTTCAAGTTACTAAAGTGAGGGCTGAATAGTTGGCGTAATGGCTGAAATTTTTGTTCGGGATTGTCCATATTTATATTTTTAGTCAAAATATGTAGGCTGTCGCTGTATCCGAAAGAATGTTGGATTCTGAGAGTGCCCCGCTGCTACTGTCATTGATATTGTGATAATAACGCAAGAGATTCTTTCCTTATTGACTTGGTTCATGCATTGACATATGGTTGAGCATCTACATTTTTGTTTATGAAGTTTCCGGCTTGCTGATGAAGCTTAGATTTTCTTTCCTTTCATTTTCAAATGAAATTCGGAGTAAATTTTCAATATTTGGAAGTCCTCGCCACAATTACAGATAAAACAAAGCATATTTATCTTCTTACAAGTATCCAGTAATTTTATTATCCTTCAAAACACTCGGGGAACTCTTTATAAATTCCAATTTAAAGTTATAATCTCCTCTTATTTGATTGAATCCACTTATAACAAGTACTTATGTGAAAGAATTGTCTTTCAACAATTAGTCATCAATTCTCCTTTTTGATAATGAATTCAATGCCCGTTTTGCTGAATTTGGTTGAAATGTGTGAATTCATCTTGATTAGCATTTATGTCATGCTTGACTAAGGCTATGTTGTGTCCATTGTTCGTCGGATTGGACAATGAATTTGTTGTGTAATTTGATCACCCGAGTTGAAGGTTTTTTTGTCATGAAGCAAAAACACTTTTTACATTTAGACATTTTGGTGCTATAGAATGACACTTGAAGGACACCATGTGTTGTATCTCATGTTTGATTTTTGTTCTTAAAATTGTTTCCATTGCCTATTGCCAGAGGAAGGGTTTGGAAATCAAGAGATTCTACTTTCATAGGAGTTTGAATTTCATTGTAGAGGCAAGATAGGAGTAGGGAATTGAGAGAGAAGCAAGGGAGAGGATGTGGAGCCAATAGAGAGGGAGAAGAATGTAGGAGGAGATGGCTTTGGTGTGTTTGGGGGAGAGGGATGTAGAGGAGGTAGCGGAATATGAGAAAGGCTAGAAAAAGAAAAAAAGAGAAAGAGAGTTGTGGGAGAAGCAAGGTTATTGGGAAGGGAGAGAGAGAGAGCGCCAGGAATCAATCATTAAATAAGAAATAATAATCCATTGGGCCTTATTTATAGAGAAAAAGGCTATAAGGATATTACAAAACATATTCCTAAACAAATTAAAAAGTTATTATCCTTCAATATATAAATTCAAAATAAAAAGTATTTCCTTAAATCAATAAAGCAAAAAATAATCAACCCATAGTAGGCATCAAATACGTCTTGATTGAACAATCTGTCGCGGGTCTCCTTTAGATAGTCATGGTGAAATTACTTTAAGTAGGTCTAATGGAGATGGTATCCTCAATGAGCAAAATTATGATGCTTGTTTGAAGGATCTAATGTACCTTCATCAGACTAGAGACCTAATGTGTCTTCATCAGTCTAAATCTGCTCAACATTTGACATTGCTAGAATTGGTGAAAGAATTGAAGCTGGTGCTACTAACATGTTTGTAGAAACTCCACTTACAGGGAAACCCTTAGGAAACTTTGGAGGGTTGATATGATATCAAATCTTCATCAGTGCAAGTTAGACAAATGCTCATGTTAGTAGAAAAATATAGAATATATGCTTTCAGTCTAACCTTTTAATTATATGGGTATGAGCTGGGTTATGAAGTTATTAATTGTATTGTGTGAAAATTGTTTGGGGAAAATATGAACTTAAATGTTATTGTTTTTTATACTTCAGTAGAAATGCATTTGATCATGCACAAATTTTGATGCAATATTTGGATTAAAATTTTTTTAACTAAATTCATGATCATTTGAGCTCCTATTTCAGCTAATTTATAATTGAACTAAATGTTTCAACAAGACAACCCCAAGGACATCAAAAGCAATCTGATTCAAGTTCAAATGAGCCCAAATCAAGCAGTTGGAAGTATGATTGGAAACTTTGAGACCTTAAATGAAGGATAAAATGATTTCCAATTTTTTCATTCTTACAGTCAAATTGAGTGGGATAAAGGCTTGATGTTGTTGTTGTACAGTCAAAATGAGCAGTGCGATGATAGAAATTTAATGAGCCCATGATCGCTTAATTATGAGTTCATTAAGATGCATATAATGATAGAATGATCAATGGTTAAAGAAATTAACATAGGCCTTTGATATAATGTTTTGGAATTTTAGCTTGATTTATCAAAATGCCACTAAAAAAATTATAAAGAGGGCTATATTCTTCACATGAAAGGGATCTTGAACCTAGAGCTTGGAAGCAAATTTGGGCTTTGAGTTGGAAATAGCTCTATTAAAGATCGATGTGATGACCAATTCTAGCAATCATAGTCATCCACCACCATCGCTTGATTATGGTCTCTTGACAATTATTATTTGATTTCAATCTCTCGATCAAAATCGCCCAACTACCTTGTTCGACTACACCGATCCTCATTGAATGCATTGCCCATTATCACCAATAGTGTTGGCATAAGCCATCTCATATAAGACTGATGCATGTCGTCGATGCACGTTGTTGTATATCGGTGTTGATGAACACCATTGTTTATAAGGCTGATGCATGTCATTGATACCAAGACTAATGTTTGTTGACTTCATTGCATGTCGTTGCTTGCAACTTTAATACTCACCATCGCTAGTAAAGGTAAGGCTTGCTGTTGGCATAAACTCTAACTCTCAATGTCAATAACAAGATAATATTGGCCTTCTTGGTCTCTGATCCTCTCTTTTTAAAGGAGAGTGATCGAACAACCAACAAACAATCACTTGAGGATAATTCCAATGCTTTAAATCGATTACAACTTCCACCATATAATCCATCCTCATGTGTTCATTTATACTCCATTGTTTCATTGCCTTTCCAAATTAAGGATAAAGGTTTCATTTCTAGCCAACAATATACACACTAGTGGAATCATTTCATCTAGGTTGGGCCACATGTTTTTTTTTCTTTTTTATTTATTATTTTTCTCGTAAAAACTTTGGCGTCTCTTATATTCATTCTCTTTTATTTGTGTGCACTAGATCTTTGTAGAAAGTCAAGACGTTAAATTCTTTCACTCTAATTCCATGAATAATTATACTCAAATCATTTTATAAGAGGGCTCCCCTTCTACATCACATTAAAGTTCCTCCACCATAGTTTTAGTATGATTTCTTGGACATAGCTAGTTTAATTCATCCTTCTTGTATTGGTTTGCTAACTTATAAACTTTTGACAACCGTGATGGATTTGAACCAACTTTGTGTTATTGACACCTCTTGTGATATCATAGGAGATAAACTTTGATGTTTTGTTTAGGAGTAATTCTTTTAAGGGATATGAATCATCTTACTCATAATCACAATTTTTAGGAGTCTTCGCTTTGACTATTACAATTATTTTATATTACATTCCAAACCATCATGCACAAAATCAAGATATTTTCTTAATTACTTGGAGGTAATCAAAGATATGTTATTTTTCAAGTAAGTTTTTACAAAAACACTTGTATTTTACATTTACATTTAAAATGGTCTCGTGAGGGTAGTTGACAGATAGGGTTTCTTCTATAAAAGCCCTAGAAGGCGCGGCAACAAAGAAGCCTTGATGGGAAGTTAATAGTTGACAGGTTCCTTGCTAGAAATACCCCATGAGAGTAAGTGGGGGGTCTCCACTAATCGAAAAACTTTAGAAGGCATAAGCTTTTGAAGGCACATGTTCTCCAAATTATCAAAAAGGCATAAACTTTAGAAACTACATGATATTCAAAAATATCAAAAGATATAAATCTCAAAAAGTACAAGTTATCCAAAAAAGCTAAAGTTAAAAAGCTTCTAAAAGTATAAGTTTTCTCATTTATTAAAAATCTTACATTATATAAGCTTTAGAAAATACAATTTTTTCAAAAAATTCAAAATATAAAAACCTTAAAAGGTATATGTTTCTTTGCTTATTTTAAAATCTCAAAAAATATAAGCTTTAAAAGATATATATCTCTTCACTTACCTGAAAATCTAATAAGATATAAGCATTAAAAAGTACACGGTCTTTGTTCATATCAAGAATATATGTTAGCATTTATTATGGATTTTCTCTACTTATTTAACATCTCATAACACTTAAGTTTCAGAAGATATAGACTTTTTATGCACCCAAAAATCTCAGAAGGCATAAGCCTTCAAAGTTACACAATCTTTATTCATCAAATTATATCAATGATGCAAGCATATTTAGAAGCCTCAATAAGCACAGAGCCTTTATCAACATAGGGATCGATGCCACTATGTTTCAAATGGTAGACAAGTATCTTTTTGTTATTGACTCAAAGATTCAATTATAATATGCTAAGTTTCCAATAAACCCTGAAGATTTCAAGCGCATCTCAAAGCCATATAAAGGGCTTAGTTTCCTTGGGGGATACGTTCTAAAAAATCTAAATTGCTTTTACACGAAGATTGAGAGCTCTTCTATTATTATTGCTTCCAATAACTTGATTACAAACAATCATGAACTAGAAAATACAAAGTTTAATTTTAAAGCCTAGTGGATCACCATCAACAAAGATTTCTTTCAGTCTTCTAACCTTTAGGTTCCTGCCTCAGCCTCCAAGGGGTGGGTCTTTTTCCCTTTTAAGTTTGTTGCAATGATGTAACTTTTGCTCGACTGCAACACATATTAAATGATTACAATGCAATCAAATCTGGTGGCAATGCTTGAATCACCAGATTTGACACCCAGTGCTACTATCAAGATGAAAATCAAGCACTATTTGGTGGTATCTGAAATGTACATACGCTTTTCTATAAGGTTGAAGCAAAGATTAAAAGGCGAGAATACAAAATGTTATAAATGGACTTACATCACTGAATTCTCTTTCCAATGACTTAAAGCATGTTAGAAAATTCATTTATTTGACATTTCAAATATTTTTTCTATGACAACAATGAGGTGCAGGAATCACCGACTAACAATTATTCAAGAATTTTTCTAAATTAATATTGTATGAGATATATAGTCTTTAGTCATTATGGCCATGTACCACGTCAAAAGAGGGTTTTCCTGTACAAATACAAATATAGTAATAAATAAATTCAATCATATTTTGAAGTTGATGAATCATGAAGTGATGTTACAGTCTTAAAGAATTGTGGAAAAAAAATAACCGAAAGCATTACAATATAACTAGCTTAAAATTAATTGGATAACTCCCTCACCCTCACCAAAGGATGAATATCACTCTCAACCTATTTAAAGGAAGAGATAAAAACTTGCCATCAATCCAAGTTGGAAGAAAATAGAATAAACTCCATTATATTTCAAAATATTGTGGCTTACAACATAAAATTTCATGGCTATTTCTAAGATTTACTTCATAAAAAATTTTATGAGCTATAGGCATAATAAAAAACATTAAATTACAGGAAAAATTATATTTTAATAAAAAACATTTAATTACAGGTGATTTAACTTTATTCCTCTTCGTCTTTCATCTCCCCACATTAAGAATCTTCAAGATTAGTTTTGTTCCACTCAAAAGTCTCAAGTAGAAGCTATATTAAGATCCTTTCAAATATTCAAGGAGAAGTTACCTCAATACCACTCTAAATCTTTAAAAAGAAGCTACCTCAGGCCTTAAACATTCTCCTACCTCTATTGCCAATGTTAAAATGCTTCAAATGCCTATTTTACCTATGAGGAGGTCAGCCCTATCAAGATTTCATTATTCCCACAGGCAAGGCGGCTAAATTTCCATGCAAGATAGTGATAATTTATCTTCATATGCATATTTTTGTTCACTTGTTTTTTTTACATATAATTTTAACTCAAAAAAAAATAAACATAAATAAAGTGGAGGAATGCATCGGGCTTGTTATGTGATAGAAATGTACCCTCAAACTTAAGGGAAAATTCTATAAGATGGTAGTGAGGCCTGCAATGCTTTATGGTGCCGAATGTTGGCCTTTAAAAGAGAAGCATAATACTAAGTTAAGTGTGGCAGAGATGAGGATGCTCAGGTGGATGAGTGGCTTTACCCTTAGAGATAGGATACAAAATGAGCATATACGTGAAAAGGTTGGAGTAGCTCCAGTAGAAGATAAGATTAGAGAAAGTCACTTTAGATGGTTTGGTCACATAAAACGGCAGCCTTGCGATGACCCGATTAGGAGAGTAGAGGTATTAGATTTGATTTATGTTAAGAAAGGTAGGGGTAGACCTAAAAAGACTTGGTTAGAAAATATTAGGAATGACCTTTCTTTATTAGATTTAAACGAGAATTTGACTTTTAATAGGACACAATGGAGAAAAAGGATTCATGTAGCCGACCCCACGTAGTGGGATAAAGGCTTGATGTTGTTGTAAAGTGACATGGCCAGATAAATATAAAAATAATAGTATTGCATGAGAATTAGATGAAAATATAGGAAATATACAAATATATTCTGATCATGCTACACTTGTAGTGGAGACCATCCACTTAGACATAAAAGTAATTTGATTATATGAAAAATATATAGAATTTATTTGTTCTTAAACCTATTATCATGAAATTTGTTAACAAATGGTTCAAATCATTAATGACTTTATTTAGTATTGGTGCATACTAATTTTCATCTTTTATCCAGGCCAGAATATATTCAAGGGAAGACTAAGTTGTGGGATATCAGTGGAAATATATTAATCACAATTAATGTTATTGAAATACTTGATGAGTCATCTTTGGGAAAATTGTTTTTTTTTTGTTGGATGAAGCTGAATGTGTCAATGAAGAGGGCATAGGGACTAATGCTAATGATGACACTAGCATTGAGTGTCTTAAGTCTAATTAATGATACTCATGTAGTCATGTTCCAATTCAATTTCTTCAGAATAACATTGGTATTTATTTATTTTGGAGATTTTTGGACATTTTGCATAATATTAAGTTAAGTGTTGTAGAGATAGAGGATGTTTAGGTGGATGAGTGACTTTACTTTTAGAGACAGGATACGAAATGAGCATATATGTGAAAAAGTTGGAGTAGCACTAGTGGAAGGTAAGATTAGAGAGAGTCGCCTTAGATGATTTGGTCACATAAAACAACTATCTTACAATGATCCGGTTAGGAAAGTAGATGTATTAGATTTGGCTTATGTTAAGAAAGGTAGAGATAAACCTAAAAAGATTAGGTTAGAAAATATTAAAAAATAAGGATATTAAAATCAGGTCTGACCGGCCGATTCAACCGGCTGAACGGGGAACCAGCTAGCCGGCTTGATTAGGTTTGTGTATAAAACTGGAATAGCATTGAACCGCCCGAGAACCAGAGAACTGGCGAACCATCACCAGTTTTGCAAAACCAGGTTGTTTAAGCCTAGCTGATTTTGAACCGATTCAACTCGTATTTAATTAAACAAAATAATTTAAAAATTTATTATTAAATATTTCACTTAATAAATTAATTTAAATTTTATATATTTTAGTTACACAAGCATCAATAATGCTTGATCACCCCATCTTACCATGTGACTTCTTTTACCATGTGAATTAAAAAGCTTATATAAACAAAAAACTATACTAACATATAGTATCTAGTTGATGTTGGACTAAAAAATCAAGATGAAGTTGTCAAGTTCACTATACATACACTACATATTTCTACATATATTTTTTAATTAAAATTTAATAATACAAATAATATTTAATTTTATCTTTTATTTAATTTAATTATATAATATAAAAATTGATTTATTTTAATTTTTTATCTATTTTTAATAATAAATAATATAACATAAATTTAGATATAATTTTATAATATAAATTTTGTATATTTTCATAGGTATAGATTATACCTAAACATATAATATAAATTAGAAATTATTTATATAAAATTTAAAAATATATATGTAAACTAAATTTTTATTAAATATGAATTATATTGTTTGTAAAGTATGATTTTAAACCTCCAACTCATTCTTAGTTTGAATATTTGATATGTATGATATAATGGATTTATGTTTAAGCTTAAGGTTAGATTGTCATATTATTATGTTAATTTTATTAATTTTAATAATATTATTATTTGTTACGTCATCCGATTCGACCCCGGTCAAACTAGTTGAACCGGTCAAACTGTAAACCTCTCATTCTTTCGATTTGTTGTCTGGTCCGATTTTGACAATCTTGATTAGAAATGACATTTAATAGGAAACAATCGAGAAAAATGATTCATGTAGTCGATCCTATGTAGTGGGATAAAAGCTTGATGTTGTTGTTGTTGTTGTGGAGATTTTCGGACATTTTAAAGTAATGTTGTTAAAATGGTTAATGAATGCTTGTGTTTGATTTTTTGTTATGATTATATAGTTTTTTTCATGATATTATATTTCATGTGATGTCTTTAGTAGATAATAGTAGAAATTATATATTTCATATTTAAGTTATTAAATATATAAACGTGCCCGTGGTGTGTTGTGTGCTACTTTTTGCAATTCTTCCGTATTGTCGTTTCCATGTTTTCATGTCATATCGTATTTGTGTCCCCATGGTTGCTTTTGTGTTTGATAGATGAGTATTCAATTTATTCAAGGAATGCAACTATTTTATTGCTTGGTGATAAGAATACAATAGAAACTGTTAATGAAGTTGACAATAACGCCTATAGAGCAAAGCTTGTACCATAATATATAACTCCTTATGACATGTTGAGTATTTTTATTTGGCAACATTCAACTTCTCACTAAAGTTTGCACAGATGGTTTTATTGACTCAAGATATTGCCATTTGTTCTATTTTTGTTAGTTTCTCCTCTGCACAGACATATACTTGTAGGTAAGGAGGCAGATATGCATATGCATATAGTTCGTTTGGGAAATGGAAAGAGCGTTAATTTGATCCAATACGATGGCTATCAGATGGATGAGAGAATATTTGCACTTGCAAATCATCTATTATTCTACACCGGATGTAACTATAACAAAGTTCTTTTCAGAACGGCATTGTCCTGTTGTCTTTTTATATTGTAGTTTGTTTCAGGGACACTTTTCATCTTGTAAAGTGAAAATTGATCAAGTATTTCTAATGATGTTTAATATTTTGATGATAATGCTTCGAATTCTCTTTTGGTATGTCATGCTGTGTCTTACAGATATTGGTCATACATAGACTTAAGGCTTTGTTTTTTTGTTTTAACTAGCTAAATGGTTAATGCATGTTAAAGTTATGTCTGCCTTTTGGGCATTGCATATTTCATATTATTGCGTGTATAGAGTGATACTATTCATATTAAATGCAAGTAAGATCTTTTGCATCTCTTCCATGAGTCTTGATCTGTATGCGATCATGGGAACTCATTTGCATGGTTCCTCTTTTGAATGCTTTAATGTACTCCAAAATAAATATAGCTTTCATCACACACTTCTGCCTTATAGTTTTACTGGAATTTTTACTAACGAGGACCGTCACAGGTTGATGGTACATTTCATTCACCAGAGTGGCATGCTGCTCGTTTGGCCAGCCTTAATACATCCCACACAATAACATGGGAAGAATACAAGAAAAAACAGAAGGTAGTATATAATATTTGTGATGTGAAAGAGTGTAGGGCTTCTTCCTTTGCAGTTTCTATCATATTGAAAGATCATCTGCATACTGTACTCTTTCATGTCGTGGTATGATCTCTTAGTTTTCATTCAGTAATTCCTTTACCTGAGCATTTTCTTTTTAAAAAGAGTAATTCTTTTATATTTGATCACCTTTGCATGTGTCTTACGAACAAGGTACTGTAACATACTCCGATCTATAAGGTGGGTTAGTTAGGAAATTCTTAACTGCGCTGGAGAGATCTGTTCAGCTGGTAATTCTTAACGTTGTTTAAGCCGCACTGTTGTATAATGTTTATTGGCATATAGAAGTTTTTAGCTATGTTTACATCAGGAAAGGTAAACAGAAGGTTAGGCGAACTAAGAATTTAAAAATGGAAGAAAAAATAAACGAGGATACCAATCAAGAACATTTCAAGAATTAGATAATAGGTAAGAGACAGGAGGCATGCTGCCTTATAGTCTTCATGGTTCATTTCCCCACAAATCTCAAGCAAAGTAAATTCAGTCAAATTGTTACCTTTGAATGCAAATATTTTACATTGCATTCTTAATACGCCAAATCAAACAGTCCCTTGTTGTCCATGAAGGCTTGCCTTTTGTTTTTTTGGATATTGAATTGAAATGTCCACGGAGCTTTACACTCCGTTGGAGGCTTCCTTCCCATTTGTTGAAGATTTTCTCCGACCCAGTGGAAACGTTTGCTGCATTAGCAGTGGTGATGAGTAAAGTTGCAACAGCTATTTCAAGTTTGCTGATCAGCTATGCAAACTGATTAAGCATGATCCTATAATGTTGGAAACCCGATATGTAGGCTTACGTTGTTGACAGGTGTAATCATCTCTTTTTTTCCCATCCCGTGGGGAATAAGACTTTGTAAGAGAGATTAGAGTGCTCGCCTTCCATTTTATTGAAGTTTTCTTGTTATGATAAAGCCTTCAAAACCTCATATACCATTAGTACGTATTCTTTCCATTCTATAGTTTGTTAATATGGTATTTCCATTTCCTTCATAATGAATAACAGTGCATCGTTAACCAATTTTCATGCTGTTTATTCTTGTTGAGATTAGCTGTAAGGTAATGAACTGTAAAATCCTTGAAGCAGTTCTCTGCCCTAAGTTGGACTCGTGTATGATAAACCCTTACCCTTAAGATGTTTTAAGTGCGTGGCAGCTCTAGTTTTGATGTGGTCTCATAGAGTCCACTTAAAACTTTTCCTGAACGAACTGCAAAGTCTTCTAATTTTTTTTTTATTTCTTTGGAATCTAAGAAATCAATTTATTGTTTTTCATTAAATTTATTCTTGCAACATGAAGGTCATATTGGATTCCAAAATAAGTTTGCGGACATATTAAAGAATTGAGATTGAGCAATGACATGATTTATTCAGTTAATTATTTATTTTGGTGTCTCTGAATTGTTCTTGAAAATGGGGGTGCTTCTCTCATGAATAAATAAATGTAATTATATTTTTTTTGGGAAATTTTGAGTGCTGGAGCACAAATTTGGTGTGGAGGAATTTAATTCTAACACCTTTGCAACAACTTCCAAGCTGTTCATCAACTAAGCTAGCTCACCCATTACTTATGTTATTTTTTTAATCAAACTAATTAAGAGTAGTTTTTATCAAACATAATTTTTAGAATACCTAGAGGGTTTCCATATATGTAAGTGCAAGTAGTTTGCGTCTGATTGCTTAGGAAAAGCCAACCCATGCTCAATCTTTATTGATTTATGGCGAGGAATTCTAGAGTAGTTTGTTTTAGGTAGATTGTGTTCATTTTAACTAGATTTTCACATATATTAAATCAAGGTTTATTTAGATCTGTGGTCAAAACTTCCTATATGAACATAAACTCCTATATTTAATTACCTTTATGCTCACGAGAGTACCCTTTTGATTAATGAGCTTGGGCTCAAATTTAGGTTTATGATTAGTGTTTGGATTTAATTTACAAGGGTGTTAGAAGAATGGAGATAAACCCTATCGAGATCCCATAATTCCTTGATTTCGAGTTTGCCAGTTTGCCAATGTTAGAGAGCTTTTAACCAGAATGTTTGTGGAGTTTGATTAACAATCATAAGTTACCTTTTTTATGTGTCTCCAGCAAGCCACATGGATGCATATGTTGAAGATGTGCTTGCAAAGTTGCCATCAACTCATTCGCTGATGATAGGCTAGCCATACAATTTTCAGTGAATAGTTCAAATGCACACAAAATGGTTGCTTGCTGTTCAAAGGTATTATACTTGGTCAATAACAGCACAGAGGCATGACATGACCATCAATTTTCTAGAACTTTTAGTATAACTCAAAGAAGCATGTTCAAGGCGCATGTGAAGTTTGATTGACTAGTTTGATTTGATTGATGGGCTCATTAATGTTGGAATTTACTTGAATTTAGCTTATGACTTACATCCTTAAGATGGCTTGAGAACCAAGCATAATTTGATTTGTGTTGGCTTAAATTAATTATGTTAAGGCTAATATCCATTGGATGGTTTGTAACTAGAACTTGCAATTTTTAGGATGAGGAAAGCTTAGCATTGGGTTTCAAGGCTTTACTATATATCTATGGTGGCTTGATTAATCAAATTTGTTTGATGGGATTGTTAACTTTACATTTTCTCCATTTATTGGGATGTAACTTACGTTCATTGGAAGGCCCATAAGTGGAGTTTACAACCTTTAAGGAGAGAAAAACCAAAAAATAAAACTTGATTTGAAATAGAATTTTGAACTTTGAAAGGAGAATTTGAACTGCAACTTTACTTTTCAGTCGAACCTAATGGATTGAGATTTGTAATCTTTGTTTTATGGGGAGTTTGACATAGGCCTTATTATTTTTAATTTATAATGACTTATAATGATGTATCTTATCTTGTCATGTTGACACGACAACCCTTATGAAAGTCTTACATAAAGTTCATGATCTTATTGTTGATTTTTTATCTCTTTGATTTTTTAGAATGACTGATTACATAAGAAAAAAAGTTCATGTTTGAAGGTACAAAGAAAGGGTATGTTTACATGAAATATAATTTTTTTGAGAAGCGGATTACTAGAGGTATTAAGGCTTAATGATCACTCGGATTGCATATATATGTCAACGTTGAATCATGTGCAAATGTGTTTGATGAAGTGAAAAAAAAAAGAATGTACTTATTATTTGAAGAAGTTTGCCACCACCAAAGAAATGACACAAAAGTATAAAGAAGATGATTGGAAATAGCTCATATTTTGATTCCCAGCGTGACATATCGAGTAGTGGAAGTCATTTAGTTTATTCTAATAAATGCACTCAAGGACTAATGAATAGATTTATGTTGAATGTTGATGTAGAGGAGAATATTAACTCTTAAACTTTTTCTCCTCTTGTTGCTACGAAGGAACTCAAGAATATAACCTGTTTAGATATTGCTAGGTATTTTTATGAAAATGACATTCCATTCAATGTTGTTAGGAGTCCAGCATGGATAAACATACTTTGATTTGTTGGGAGCTATGGTTGAGGTTTGAAGTTATGATAGAGGTTTAGAGCTTCCTAGTATGTATGAGTTCAAGACCTGGATATTAGATGAGAAGGTTAGGATAAGGACAATGATGGTGGATGAAGTGAAAAAGACATGGGTTAAGACATGAGTGATCATGATGTTAGATGATTGGTTAGATATTTGATAAAGGAGCATCATCAACATTCTTGTTAACAATCCTATGAAATTGTATTTCGGAAATCTATCAATGTTCAACTTTTATGATGGATGCACAATTGTTGTTTCAAATGTTAGATGAGGTTGTTGAGGAAGTAGGAGAGATATTGGTGGTTCAAGTTGTTACGCATAATACAAGTGCCTACAAAGCCTCCTGCAAATAACTTTGCACATTTTTTTGTCATTTTTTGAGAATTTTATTGCTTTTTCAGTAGCAATTGACCAGTTCTAAACAACCTCTTTAAACTCTTCCTTGCTTCTGAAATAACATTTCCACTTCAAACTTCTACTTATGACAATCAAGCATGAGATTAAAGACTGGCCATCTTGTACAATCATTTTCATCACCATTATGAACACTAGCGTCATCATTGCAATCCATACAGTCAACTTCACGTTGTTTTTTTCTTCAAATTTTCAATTAAATTTATATTTTGAACTCAAATCTTTTCCTTTTCCTTCTTTATAGTGTCTATAAATTCAACAGAACAATCAACATTTTTTTTCAAATAACTCATCATCATCATGCATCTCAGAATCATTGTTTTCAAATTGTTCTCATCATCTTTCAAGTTATAGTCCATATCCTTGTCTTCTTACATCTCATCATTATGGTAACCATGCCTCTTAGGTGTATCTACATTCTGAGCATAAGCATATGACAAATAATAGCGGTTGGTTGGGACAAACCACTATAAAGTTACAAGAAATTGGAGACATCTAACCACTCATAAACTAATGCGCGTAGTCCATCATTCCCTATTTAGTTGCTAAAATATATACACATATTGAACAATACAATCATAAATAAACTCACCTATAAATTAATGTTCATGCTTATCAATGGAGAAAATTAATGAAAGAACTCACTCTCTAAAAACATTCACATTGATATTCAATGACGCTTGTCGTTGATCACCCTTAATGATTCAAACTCTAATGTACAAAAAAAAAAAAAAATCGAAATAACAAAAAAAAAAAAAAAATCGAAATATATATAACCTTCAATGAAAAAAAAAACAAAATACAGAAAAAAATATATTAGAAGAAATTGGTGGTTCAACAATTATTTCTCTGTTCTCTCCAAATTGAGATGAGCCTATAAATAAAATTAAAAAGAAGAGTCTTAGTGAAATGAGTTACTTATTTCATGAGATTTTCAGACATTGTATATATTTCATGAGATTTTCAGACATTGTATAGTTGGTATTGATGTTCTCTGAATTCTATCAAAATTAATGTTTACAGTCTATA